GAAAATTGGAGAATAATTCCAGATTGGCACTGTTGTTATGAGTGTAAGACTTGGGTCATTGTGAGTGGATTAGTGTGCCTTGGCCTTAATAGGAATTTCAAACCCAATCCACGTCACATTCTTGTAAAGTCTAAACAATGTGAGGGTGAAGAATTGTTATATCTAGACGACTGTTGTCGGCTGAGTTATTCTTCATCCTGCTACTGAATGTTCATCTTTTGGCTGCTTCTGTCTCTAATGTTTTTCACAGAGGCCAACAGCCAAAGAGCTCCTGAAACACAAGTTCATAACACGTTACACAAAGAAGACGGCCTATTTGACAGAGCTGATTGACCGTTACCGCCGCTGGAAGTCGGAGGGGCACGGGGAGGAATCCAGCTCTGATGACTCGGATATGTGAGTCTGAAGACAGCCTCTCATGAGGCCATGTGCATTTTTTTGAATTCTGTGATTTACGATGTGTTTTATTGAATCAGACCAAGGGGTTTAAGCCACCACTGCTGGAACCGCCACTGTATTACAACATTACAAACTAAAAGAAAATTCCATCTGTGAATAATGATTAGTTCACAGGTTACAGCAGACTGTTTGATAAATGGAAACACAGTTTGACCAGATCGAGTGTCTTCCCGACCATAAAGACTGAGTCTGTACGGATCACGAACTGTGTTTCATTGCACTCAAAGTAAACCAGGTGGTGTGATGGCTGCAAAGCTCTGTATATTAATGCCCTGCAGACAGCAGAGCAGCAAAGGAGAAGCTGCAGCTTCTCCAGACGTGCTTCAAACTCAGCATAATTTTATAAAAACACAGATTAGTGAGAAAAACCTAGACCTACCTCACACCTACATTTCACGATTTGCATGTTTTGCAGTTCATTAAATCATAGGGCCCAACTCTCATACCCTTCGGTTGTACACTTTCTACCGGATATTTGCTAAAAAAAAAACAAAAAAAATGAAACTCTGTTCCATGAAACAAATCTTTTCTTGTTTTTTCAGATTTACAAGCTTTTGAATAAAAAAAACGTATTTGGCAAATAACAGGCCTGATTATGTAGGCTAAAATAAAATGACAAACTAACTATATCTACACCATTGACTGTTTGAAATACGGTATAGACTCATTTACTGACTTCATCCATTACCCCAATCCCCACAATGACTGATTAGAGTGGCAGTGAACTACGGCGTAGCACGCAGCGCTGATGGACCGCGGCACGCATAGAGATTATGTGGAAATTGGAGGTGTTTGCTGCCGTTTGAGGCTTTGAGTTTAGCATTTTGGCTGCTGCCAAGAAATACTAGAATCTCTTTATTGAAATCATTTTCTTGGGAAGCCTCTAAATAAAGTCAATGCACAGAAAATATGAAGGATATCCAAAAGGCGCCAACAACAAAGACACAGTGGAGAAGTTTAGTTCAGTTATTCACTGAGCTGTCCACCATCTGTGACTCAAAGCATGTTATAATAGGCATTTTAAAATGGGCCCTAAACGAGGACCGACTCACTGTTGGAGCCAAGCCTCAAGTGGCCACTGGAAGAACTGCAGTTTTAAGCGTTTGATTTGGCTTCATTCCTCAGCCCTGGAAGTTGTTGCTTAATTAACCCACATACACATATATCCATGAATAAAAAAAAATGTCCTTAATAGAAATGTCTTCTATAAATTAGAATTAGGTCATCGATTGATTGTGTTAAAATTGGGTCATATTTGTTCCTCCTCATATTATGAAAATCTCTGCTCTTATCTTTCCGTCCTTGCTTAAGGGATGCTGACGGTGACGTGGACACGTGTCCGATGTGGACCTTCCCCACAGTCAGACCCTCCTCTCTGAGCAAGCTACAGAAGGGCTACACACACACAGATTCAGATGTAAGACTCATCCAACTGCACTATACACAAGTCAAATGTTTTTATTTCTCCTTTTAACCATCTTTTTTTCCTTTTCCCAGTCAGGGGATTTGGTGAAAAGGCAACCCAAGTCACAATGCCTGTCTGCTTTGGTAACACCCATTTTCAGAGAGGTAGGCCAAACTGTTTCTGATTACACAACTCTGATTCAAACTATTCACTGCACTATATACAGGCGCATCTTCAGCAAGCATCTTCTATCACCGTGTATATGCCTCTGGGAACAGATGTTATATTCTCCCATGATTTCAGTGAAGCCTTCGTTTTGTGTTAAATGTCTTCCAGACAAGATTTCTTTATCATGCAGCATTTACGTCTGCAAAATTCTTAGTCCAGAAAATGAGATAACACCACACAAACATTTCTTTGTTTGCAGTGCATACAAAAGTATGATTACTATTAACAACAACAACAAAAATGCTACGTTTGTACAACAGTGGACAGTTTCCTGAAACCAGTAGCAGGGCGTTATCTGGAGCAGTTAATCCAGTCTAAAAAAAGTGTCCTGGTTATGTGTCGTGCATAAGCCCTTATTAGCCCTTATCCTGGTTTTGAGATAACTGGATGTACTACCTGGACTACTATGTGAGAAATCAGGATACTGTGGCTGGTTAACACTTTAACCAGGTTTTTGAATACTCTCTGTAGTTACTTAACATAGTAACTGGGATGGTGAGAAATGAAGACTGAACTGCACCCAGATGATCAGGAACCTGGATACTGTGATAAAAAAAAACTAGCAACATAATGAGGTTTCCATTGTGCTAAGTAAACCTTAGAGGAGAAAAGAAACCAGAAAATATTTTTTATTACAGAAGTTGGAATTACGGAGTCGCTGGTAAGATGACCCGGTTACTTCTTTACTATTGAGCTCTGGAAAGGTTCATTTAGGCAAGGTCCATTTAAAACACCTGTTTAAGTTGTTAGTGGTCACAGTATGTGCACATGTAATAAAATAATAATATATTTATAGCTTTAAGAACAAGATTTAACAAAGTGCTTTGAGAAAAAAAGGGGGGAAAAGCAGGATAAGCAAGAGAAAAGATCCCAAACATAGTGAGAAACATTAAAGGGCCAAGTCAAAGGATGTTAGATCACAGTAAATAACATAGCATAGCACATCACACTGGCCAGAGAGTTACCTAAAGTAACTTCAACAGGGGCGTCGGTAGCCTTCTGGTTAGTGTGTGCGCCCCATGTACAGAGGATGAAGTCCTTGAAAGCGTGCGGCCCGGATTAGAGTCCAACCTGTGGCTTCTTTCCCGCATGTCGTTCCCCACTCTCTCCCTGATTTCTGCCTCTCTCCACTGTCCTATTTCTAAAATAAAGGCACAACAAGGCTAAAAAAAAAAATACATATTTAAAACAAAAAAAAACAACTTTACTAGATGACATATGACCCATTATTTGATGGATTTGGAGGAGAAATACGTAGACAGGAATCAGGAGAGTCTGACAAACACAATGTCGTTTAGTCCCAGAAAGTGTTTCCTGCTCTATACAGGACAACATGAAAAATGTTTCTACTGGGCAGACAGGTTCCCCATATAAGAGCCTACAGTCCTACATGCATCGGTCGCAGGTTCCACTCATGGCCTCGACCCTTTAATGCATGTCTACCCCACTCTCTCTCCTCCCCACATTCGCTGTCGTATTAATAAAGTAATAATTCAAATCAAACAAGAGAGGGCATGAAGGCTTTGGCAGTCATTCTAGTACTTCTTTCACCTCCAACAGTTAAAGGAGAAGCGACGGGCGAGCGGTGCTGGCGTAGGAGCAATCGAGGAGCTGGAAAATGCCTTTAACCTGGCAGAGGAGTCCTGTCCGGGGATCTCCGACCGCCTCGTCACGCACATGATGGAGAGAGTGTGCAGGTGAGAAACCAAAAACTGTCACAGCTGTGTGTGTGTGTGTGTGTTGTGGTGTGTGTGTGTGTGTGTGTGTGTGTGTGTGTGTGTGTGTGTGTGTGTGTGTGTGTGTGTGTGTGTGTGTGTGTGTGTGTGTGTGTGTGTGTGTGTGTGTGTGTGTGTGTGTGTGTGTGTGTGTGTGTGTGTGTGTGTGTGTGTGTGTGTGTGTGTGTGTGTGTGTGTGTGTGTGTGTGTGTGTGTGTGTGTGTGTGTGTGTGTGTGTCCATTGTTCTGCAGAAAACGTTGATTTCTCTGAATTCATGGATTTCATATCCTTCTTTCAGGTTTTCTTTAAATGGTAACACCACCCAGTCTTCGCGGTGAAACTCCAGCTGGATGTAACTGAACCCCTAACCCACGTTTATTTGTCTCCCAGACCCCCCCAACCCCTCAGACAAGGACCACAGAAGAGCCCCCCCCACAACACCCCTTGTATCTTTGCATCCTTCCCTGTCCTGTCCACAAGAGATCTTTTAATTAGTTATAATTAAATATTTTTACAGTTTTTCTTTAAGAGCGGAGAGTATTTAAGACAAAAAAGCCATGTTACTTAGAGCGTTGTGTATACCTGTTAGACTGAAGAAAAAAAACTATAATAAAGTCTATGGAAAATGTCCTGTTTCCTGTTGTTTTCTGCTTCTTATAGAAATGAACGTCACATCAAACAATGACAAAACTCTGTTCTATGTTAAACGGTAAGCTGACAGAGAAACATGTTTTGTGTGAGCTTTCTTCTTTGTCTGCCTCACGACACAGACCGGTTCTGTGCTCATGACACTCTTGACTGATCTGTGGTGGAGCACTCATCCATAACATAGTACATACCTTAGTTGATTTTTAACTGCCATTATATATGAAACTATAGGACATCACCTTGGTACAAAAAAAAATCTTATAACTGCATTATTATACAAAACAACATACACAAGTTGGGAAAAACAAGCATTAAACTAACACATCCCTACTGCAGCTACATGTCCGATGTGTCCTTGGTCAGAGTGTGAATGTGTAGGTGTGACCTTTGGTGTAAAAGCGCTTCAAGATCAGACTAGCTCGAGTCCATTTATGACTAAGACCAAACTATCATGTCAACAGGAAGATACCAGTTGTATTTTTATTGTTCTATATTTGGTCATTTGAAGGTGAATAAAAAGGAATGGACCACAGAAGATGCTCTGTAAGTTTAATAAAACTTTTATTACAATATATGCATCAAAAACAATATTCTGCTCTTTATTAATATTGGGTATAAACAGCACAAAGAGGAATGTCAAGAACTCACACCTTGGCTGGTGAGGGAAACGTTGGCTACACTGACTTCATTGGGTCACCTGTAATCTCTGTAGTCATGGAAACCACAAAGTGCTCAGCGGTTTGTACTGGCTGCATCAATTAAAATATAAAAACAGTAAATGCTCCCTGGCACATGACTTCACTTGACAGAGTTGGAGAAGTTACATGGAGATAACTGAAATCACCAAACAGAGGGGCGACACCTCATCTGTCCGTCCTTCATTTGACGTGTATGGGGAAAACTGTAAGAGGTCCGGGGTCACAGTTCATTTTAAAACATGTCCATCTCAAGAGGAGCTTCACAACACTTGAATTCCATTGTATGCAAAGACACCGATGGAGAAATGCAATAATGGATTCGATTTGGACATGAGAGGGAGACGCTGATCCCAAATCAACACGATAGGGAAAGTTCACCTCAAGTTTTACCAGACAGAGTCGAGGGCTCATGCAGAAGAGGAGGGTCATAGAATTAACATTGAGTAAATCTTAATGGGTAGCTTTCCTGCTCACTTCTTTAAAGAGCGAATACAAAATAGAGAGAAAGAATATTGAGGTTATGGCATCACAATGGCATGAAAAGCTAATTCTGTCGACTCTCCCAATAAAAGGTGAGCGCCTGAGATGTTTTAGAACTAAAAGCACTTAATACAAGCAGAAAAAAAACTTTGGTTTCCTCAATAACAAAATAACAAGAACAAAACAAGTAAGAAAACTGAAAAAAATAACAGGACATCCCAATGACTGTGTTGTTTATGTAAATATATGTAACCATTTTTGTAGAAATGGTTCTTGTGACTTCATTTAAGTAACTGGCAAAAGTTAAAAAAAAAAAAAGAACTGTGTGAATATATAAACATAACACTGTTTGAATATACTTTACTGTATGTTCTCTTGAAAGAAAAGGAATCCAGATCCAATAATGGATTGGAAATAAAAAAAATAGTGGCAAGCCGTATGAGTCGATAACCAGAAGGATTTTTCCCCTCCTCTTGTATCAGTCGTCCTTCTAGAGTCAAACTCTGGCAGTGGCTCCAAAACCTGCAGAGGGAAAGAACAGAAAAAGTTACAAACAATGCAACTGAAAGTCAAATGTGGCCTCACAAAAGACCAGAATCAACAGATAACCGCATCTTATTTTGGTATTTAAGTTACAGAAATAGAAGATAAGGTGTCACATTCAGAACACATGGTGCAGTGTTTGCAGTGAGATTGCCTCACAGTGGGTGACTTCAGTGTGTATCGGTGTGGCTCCTACCTTTGTTGGGTTTTTTTTTCACACATGTAGGCCGTCTCCTTCTCCGTCTCCCTGCTTCTGCATCTGGGCCTGCATCTTGGCGATCATCTCCTGCATCCGTCTCAACTGAACCACAAAGAACGTCAACGTTTGCCATGTAAACTATAACTTCCCTCAAAAAAATGAACTCAGCAGCTGAGATTTTCAAGTGACAAACTTTTTGGTTTATTTACTCGTGATTTGGCACATTGTTCAGCCTTACTGAATGTTTTATTAAAAACTCCTGTGATCAAGTTGTATTAACTGCTTCCACATGAGCCCTATGCAGACTGCCAGATATTTACGTCCCTGTGATGTTTCACCTTCAATCTGAACATCTCAGAGGCGTAATGACGTGACTAATTGATCCCCCCCCTTCTGTACTGTCTTCGAGGCAGTAAGAGAAACAAGACCAAATCAGCTAAGCAAGCGGTGGAGTGCAGCACTGTATGTCTGACTGTGTGTGTCTGTGGAGCTCCCGCTGTGCTGTTCTTCCACAACGCCGAACGCAGTTTGAATATTACAAGAATATTAAACCATAGCAGATTCAGAATCAGTATGAATGTACAAAGACATAACGACAGCTGAGCTTAGGTATGGCGCTTTTGTGGAAACACAGTCTGAAAAGGGCTATGAACTACTTTAACAAGAAACAATAGTGAACCAGAATAGTTCTACAAGTACTGAACAGATTCAACTATACCACCCTATCCTATCTAAGCATGAACACTGGGAACCATAGAAAAAGTTATCCTTGTACAGATCAAACTAAAAGTTTTTTTTTTTTTTTTTTTAAAGTGTCACTATCAAGTCTAAAGTTCACTGATTGAAGTTACCCTTTGCCTCCAGTTATAATGCTAAGCTAACTGTCATCTCCAGCTTCAAAGGTTTGTATACATGTGGGAGATTGCAGATACATCTACTTTCCACCCTTATTCCTGTATCAAACCTTGACAGAGAATGAGTAGTGTCTGAGATATCCTACCTCAGCCTCCTTCTCCTGCAGGATCATGTCTTTGTCCATTTCCTCCGGCTCCGGCCCATTCCTGCTGTAATGACACAGCTAAAGTTACTTTTGATAGCAGTGAGAGGCTATAGAATCAATCTCCGATATTTCTGCAGAATGTGTGCCAATCAACAAAATTCATCTTCCAAGTTAAAATGCAGTCGGTTAGGCATGTGACATTTCTCTGTGCGGTTATTTACAAAGCACAATGACCGGTTAAGCGGAGAAGTTGGTGTGTTTGTGTGCGCGAGCCTGAGAGTGCACATTGTACCGTCTGTGGAGGCATTAGGCATAAAATGACAAAAAGCCACATTGAGAAAGTGAAGGAGTCAGTGGGTTAGTGGTGATAGAAAAAGTGGACGTCTACAAGATGACTACAAAGAGATGAAAGCGGTAAGGTTCCAGAGAGGAGCAGCGGGCGTGAGAGTCAGGGGAACAGCAGTAACCCCCCCACTAAACTGGAATAGGAAAAAAACTGTACCTCCAACAGTCTTGCTCATGGGAATGGACAAATCAAGACCACGCTGCCATCATTGGACGATGGCGAGCCAACAAGAAGGTAAAAGCCCTTCGTCATCCTGGGTTGGCTTTAGAAGGCAGTTTAAAAAGGATCTTTTTGGTCTACTTTGAGGGTTAAATGATGAAATATCCACACTATGTTAAATGACACAGTAATCCTGTTGAAAACCTCGACTGATACTTAAACTACACGAGCCATTTAGCTACAAACTAACCATGGAAAACCACAAACCACCGAGGCCCACAGTATATATTTAAAAATTTGCCTGGTCGCACTGTTTAACATGCAGAATGATGAGTTAGATCTACTTTACTACAGAATGAAACATGTTCAACAACATCATGATCCATCATTATACTAGGATGATTCTACTTACTGAGCTTCCTCGAACACTTCTGGGTGTTTTATCCTGTTAACTGTGCTGTGTGTTTACTTTTAGAGCCTGACTGTGTTGTGTTTTCTGTTACTGTCTATGCCATTTAATACTGCTCTTATCAGAGGTTTGCTGTTTGAGGTGGGGGAGGTGCAGAGAAGCAAGCTGACGTACGCAGGAGACAGAGGCAGAACGTAACCATGGGAGGACAACCTGCCACCCCGCTTGAGGCGGTCCGAGCGGAAGTTCTCGTAGTGAAGGTCCTGGGTCACTTCCTGTAGATCCTGCATGTGGGTTCTGTGGAAAAGAGTCACAATCCAATTCACTCGTGCAGACATTTACAAACTACAGATGTTAGCTCCACTGTTGGGTTGTCATGATACCATTACCACTGTTATTATCTGGGAGGACGTTCTCGATATGATTAGTTAAAAAAAAAAAAAAACTTGTGATTATGTGAAGCTTGTGAGTATTTATCCAAGAGTTTATTATCAAGAAAAGTGAGCATACATATGTAGACTTGTGTCTCCTACGTGCTAAAAGGGTAATTGCTGTGAACAAACCAGGTCTGGATGAATATCTTAAAAATCTATCAATATCTGCTGCTATGGAAAAAAATACTTATATTACCAAAGAAACACTGGGAGTTTCTTGGGGAATTACATGCGAGTTTTAGAAACCAAATAATGGTCATGATCAATACAACATAGGCCTCCAGTTGAGACACAGACGGTTGAGATAACAACATCTGTAACATCTGTAGCACCTTTGTCTCGGTTATATTTTTTGTTCACATGCCTTTCTATTCCATTCCACACTGTGTCGTCTGCCAGACTGACCACTGTATTAACAAAGGATGTTTGTAATAATTGAAAAAACTCCAATAAAAGAAAGTTTTGTAACAAAAAAAATGATATGCCACCAATACCTTTAAAAACGGTTTGAGGCTCAACTGTTACACCAGAAATCAACTGTTCTAAATCTCTCCAAAACAGCAGCCTAAGCTACGGTGGGTTTGTTATGGCTCCTATTTTGGACTACCGCTTTAGAGCAGTGAAGAAGAGTTGTCAAAGATCATAATTTGGCAATACTCTCCACAGCAAAATCGCGTCAGCCAAACAACAATGTGCACAGTATGCCATGGATCCAGTTCATGGGGACAGCATTAGTCTTGCCATACACTGACAGAAGCACTAAGGCTTTAAGATACTACTGTGTATGGACTTAATCGTACTAGAATTGGATTGGTACACCAACTGTCAGGTATCAGAATCAGCAAGAAGAACAATAAAACAGCTCTACTTAACTGTATCTCTCATGTTGTCTTTATTTTAGCCAAACCAATTTACACTGTCAGTGTTGCTGCTACTTAGTACCAATTCGGGACACAGCTAATGTTTTTCTTCTTTCCTGCCTTGGCTCCATCCCTTTTCTAATTAGTTACACCGTAACAAGAAAAAGCTATTGGCAGGGGTGGACTTGCTCTCGTTGTGTTTTAAAGCATCCTGGCAAACTAACGCGCTGGCTGCAGTTTCTTCTCACAGCACTTGTTGGGAATCAGACAGGATATACACAGTTTTAGAGGTAGAAAGCTTCTCTTTTTCTCTCTGCGTTTTTCTTTCAACACAAACAGCCTCTATCACTCACATCAGCATGATTCGCAGCTTGAGGAAATCGTTGTGTTCTGGATTCTCCACCTCAACGACTCCCCAGGGGTACAGGCGGCCCCTCACCTTCTTCCCCTTGGCTTCAATCTGCTGGTTGGATCCCACCACTGCAAATGGGATGCTAGCCTGGAAAAGAAGAGATGTTCATGTGTCTTCAGTAATGGTTTAACCACACACACACACACACAAAATGACAACACTAAAGATTAGACTTAGAGTAGCAGGATGCTTTCTAGGGAATGGCGAGCATACCTTGAGGATTCTGGTCTGCTCTTTGAAGTCCTCATCCTCATCCGACTCAGCATCAGGAAGGTGGTAAATCTTGATTCCATGCTCATCAATCTCATCCAGAATCTGACCAACAAAATGCAGGTTCAAAATGACCGGTTGTATTAGGTCAGGACGTAAAGAAAATGATCCTATAAATCAAAACCATTTGGTCTCGTGAGCCTCTCATGAGCTCAAGACTTGTTGTCCTGCCATGATTTCTCTACCTTTTGAAATGTTTGAACACTGTGTACTACACAATGTTCACTCAGTGGATGAAGCAGTGACCAGCAGCACATGATAGCTACAGTTTATTTCAGGAACTGGAAAATAAAAAAAAACAACCCTGAACAATGGTCGACTCTGTTGGACCTCACCCTGCGCTTGAGCCTCTCCCTCTCTTTGAGGGTGAGTGTGTCTGCCTTGGCGATGACAGGAACCACGTTGACCTTATTGTGAATGGCCTTCATGAACTGAACATCCAGGGGTTTCAGGCTGCTCGGACAGGAAACAGACAAGCAAAGGGGGGGGGGGGGGAGAAACACAAGACATTCAGAAGAGAAGAGATAGCACATAAAATATAGTTAGCTTAACTTTTACTAACTGAGGCCTAGTCTGCACTTTTTAAACTGAGGTTTTCATCCTCCGTTTAAAAAAAAGAATCCCATACACTCACGCTGAGGTCTCAAAAACATCTTATACCACATGGAAACGTAAAACACTGTTACGGCTGTCAAGAGCATGCCAAGTTGAAAAACGATGTTTGAAATGCTAAAATGTTCTCGCCATTTCTCTGCTATGACTTTCATTTCACAAAGTTGTCCATTCAGGCGACTCTGCTCTTCAACATAGTGGGAGAGTAACTGTGTATGTATGTGTAAGCATGTAAAAAGTCCAGTTAGCAACATTAACACCAGCACTAGTTTGGTTACGTCGGCCATCGCACTAATCTCATGTAAACAAAAGCTTGTGTTTGAATCACATCAACATTTCTGTCAACTTTCAGAACTCGATTCCTGAACTCCTCTCAAATTAAAACATTAGTATTCTGTTGTTTAAAAACAGAAACTTGTCTTCGTTGCATTTTTAACAGCCAGACAAATAATGCTGCTGTCTATCCTACCCAGCTGTAATTTCCACAAATGAAATACCTAAATGAGAATATTTTCTTTGAAGGAGGGGAAGTTTTAGAGAGACGCTGGTTTACAACATGTTCATTTTATTCAAACAAAAACCTATAAATAGTAGAACCAGAAATAAGCACATATCTTAGCAGTGGCATCTTACTTTTTCCAGAGCTGGATGTAAAGAATTAGGACTCACCCATGGCCGAGCGGAGAGATGAAATAAAAGCAGCAGTGGACTCTGTTGTCCACAATGTGTCTACGGTTGAGCCCGCTCTCGTCATGGAGGTAACGCTCAAACTGATCATCAATGTAGCTGATGATGGTGCTGAAACTGAAAGAGATCAATAATATGAAAATGTGAGAACCATGCATTGTTGTTTTTATCCTATAATTAGGTTCTTAGAATCATTTTATAAAATAAGTACACGGGGGGCCAAAGAAAAGACCTGAAGCACAAACTGGAAAATGAGCCTGCCAATAAAGTCATGATACACTAACATTGTAAACTCCTATAGACCTCAAATGTTAGAAAGGGTTTAAAAAGAAAGCACATGATACAACGTTCAATAGTCGGCGTATTCAGATAGACTTCAGTTCATGCAGTTGGAGAATTTGAAACATATATACATTTAGGTTTTTTTTTTTTTTTTCATATTCATACATTGCTATGGAGATTAAAAGGCCTTGTTGTGGTTAATGCGCCCCATATACAGAAGTTATAATCCTCCAAGTTGCAGTCCGGGTTCAGATCAGGCCTGTGGCTCCTTTCCTGCATGTCATTCTCCACTATCTCGCTCTCTCTCTCCCCCTGATTTCTGACTCTATTCACTGTCCTGTCTCTAAATCAAAGGCATAAAAAGGCCCAAAATACATGAAAAAAAAATAATGGAATGGAAATTGTCCCACTACTGTTCTTAAGATTCAAATCATAAGATCAAGACGTTCCAGCTCGTCACTGTTGAAGATCACAGAACTTGACACTGTCAGCTAAATCTAAAGAAAAGGCTCATCTTTTTATCAGCATACACCCTGAAAAGATTTCATACCAGTCTTGGCTGTTGATTGCGTCTCCGTATCCCGGTGTGTCCACCACAGTGAGACGCAGCTTCACTCCTCGCTCCTCGATTTCTACCGTTGACGCCTCGATCTGAACCGTCCTTTCGATCTTTTCTATGAGAAGAACAAGAAAGGACAAAGTGACTGGCAGTGCAAAGTTGTACTTGTCAATCATGTGATTTTAATACACAGGATGAGGAAGTGTTTCAGAAGGTTAAAAAGATAATAATCACAAATTCAGCTTTGAATAGGAATGGTTCCATGCATGTGTGTTTTACCTGCTGCTCCTGGGATGACTCTTTCAGGGTAAAGGTCAGTGAGGAAGAGGCTGTTGATCAGGGTCGATTTCCCGAGTCCAGATTCACCTTTTAAGAGAAGACAGCAAGGAAATGATCAGGCCAAAATCCGGATCAATATGAGACATGAAAAAAGATTAGACAATTGCTTCAAATTCCAGAAGTATTGTCGGGTGTTTTTAGAAAAAGAGCTATTCTTAATACTGACGGATACAAGGATACAAAATACTACTACTCTTGATCTTTCCCAGATTGTTGTCAGGCGGTTGATTAAACAGATCCAGCTGGAACCTGAGAAAGGTGTGCTAATGTTCATCATCAGTCTGCTGGGAAGGTTTTACCTTCACACACAGAATAACCAGGAGCTCCTCCTCAACCTGACTCCGTTAGATGAATTGAATTGTCTTTCAGATCTCTGCTGATGTCATTTGAGTTTGAATGAACTAAACTATGTCTTTTGTCTTTATATCTCCAGCAAGACAGGGCTAGAACAAGCAGATAAAAAGATAACAAACGCAGTGAACATTGACACTTTGAATGATGAAGCTTGCAATAAAGAGACGGACCCGTCGAGTATTAGTGTAGTAAAATCACTGTCTTGAAAACCTAAAGACCATTAACCCTGGAATGCGACTACTGTGGCTCCCAGCAGCACCACCAGTGCAAAGCTTTACAGTCTTTACTACATCATATCTGCCAACTTTCAAGAGAAGCATGTACTGAAAATCAAAGTCATAATTTCATCAATGCATCAGTTTTAGAAGCATGTGGAAAGGGATATGAGAGATAAAAACAAGTGTTTGCAGTGAGGTACTAAAAAAGTATGCAACATTATTTTTCATTCTATTTCCATTTGTGGGTTCTATGTGCAGTAATCTCAATCTGCGGTAGAAAACTGATTTCATTAAGAACATGGGTCACAAAGAAGGCCAAGTAAGCACTCAGTTAGTGTTCTTGAAGTAGAGGGGCCAGCAGGCCCTCGTCCACCGTGTGAATCAGACCCTGGAGGCCTGCCGGCTGCATTCCTCTCTGGTTTATTTTAAAGCAAAAAGGATGAGCATACAGCTTGTCTGTGAGGGGGAGCTTCTACCCTCCCCCTCGCACACAAGCAGGGAGGTTCACAGAGTCACAGTTTTCACATCAAGAGTCTACGCTGCTGCAGCTGCTGCTGTGCCAGCCGAGCTTCTATACTGATGTGGCATCTGACATTTTCTGCTGACTTCATGCTCACTGAAATATTTGTTTTACCGAAAAAGCTGAGGTCACGTGCATATATCAAATGAAAAGGAACTACAGAGGTGAAGAAATGTCAAACTGATGGGTAGATGTTATAGAAAGCAGGTATATGATTTAAACAACTGTGCAGGCAAATGCTCATTATCACACAAACACACATGAACCAGAATAAAGCTTAAACAGTCACAAAATAAATTCAGTGTTTGTAACCGTGACGAGACACTCACCTACCACCATCAACGTAAACTCAAATCCTTTCTTTACCGACTTGCGATGCACCTGATTTGGCAGGTTGGCAAATCCGACATACCCTGGAGTCTCAGGGTTGTTGAACTGTCCCTGCTGTAGAAAGAAGTGAAAAGACAAAGAGGGTCACGAGTTTCAAGAAAAACATGTTTGGTGACATTAAAACTGAAGTTGAAAGAGCACAGCTTTGAACATGACTTCCTCTCACATCAGGGAAAAGTGAAACATGGTTTGGCTTTGTAGCAAAAACAACTATGACAGCCGAGTATGAGAGCTCATACTGTAACAACTCAGGAGACATCTGTTCACAGGCAGCCAGGTGATTTAAGAGGGCAACAATGACTTCTGTGCAGTCTATTTGCAAAAGACCTTCCAGCCATCATTACAGTGTTTACAGCCCTCTCCTACACAGAAAGACAGACCGAGGAGATGCCTGCAAACCGGACAGCATTTAACTGTAGCAACAACTGTCAGAGGCTAATTCAAATCAATAACTCAAGAGTTCATGTTATCAATAAGTTTTCCCCATTTTTGCCTCACAGTATTTCAGATTCATAACCTCCCTGTCCCGGGCCTTTCAGCAGAGGTCAAGACTGATAAGCCTGTTATGTGGCGTGTTCTTGCTCTGCCTGTGGGGCTTTTCTATCTTGCATGAAGCCACATCAGGAGGTCAATGAGGCTGGTGAGCAATTCGCCCGAGCGACTCAGTAATATTCCTGTTGGGAACCCGCATCAGAATGCAGGAAGCACAAATTGTCCCGCTTTAAAATGAGTGGGATTTACCACTTACACACACTTTCTCCTAATCATCACAGCACCTTCTTGTAGAGTTCCTGAAGCAGAAGTAGGTATTACTGTACTAGACTGTATCGGTTCAGATGTAATGTTTGTCTCACCTTCATTTTGTCAGCCTGAGACATTTTTCTCCTTGTAGCCCTGAAGGGGGAAAGAAAGAAAAAAACACTGTATCACATATAGAGAAATGCAATGAAACATCTGCTGCTGAAAGTCGAATTAGTCTACATTTCAGACATCTATTGACCTTATCTAAAATGGAGGGTATGTTTTACTGACAGGCCTGAGAGTGAGAGACAGGAAGTCTGCTGTGTGAGAGAGAGCTGTGTCTCACCACAGGAAGAAAGAAAAAAAAAAAACGACTTTTTTCCGGCTAAAACAGTTGAGCTACAGCTGCAGTGATCTGAGGATGAAAGAGACACAGCTATACTCACGACCTTTATTTGTCTGGTATCTTGTTATGTTATGTTGTGTCTAGTTATGATGAAGTGAAGCCGTGAGAAACACACCCTCAGACTGGAGGGATGGAAATATGTCCTGGCTATATACAAAGCTAGTTTGGAGGCATTAAAAGACCATTTTCCGCCACTATAATCAGGGGAAAGATGATAAGTTAACCTACACTAGCTATCTATCCTTTCATATCAGAAAGTTACTTGTGTTTAAATTCGCTAGTTAGCCTAACAGCGGCTGTTTTTATAACGGGAACATCTCAGTGGGTGTGACTGATGCTGAAAATATCATAATCCATAATCATTGTTGTTCTTTAAAACCCATCAAAACAAACCCAAACTAGGCTACTTACCAAAGCTAACAGCCCCCACTAACTGCTCTGTAACTAGTACAGACAAGCTCAGCATTAACAACTCACTAGCCGAGTAGCTTCTCCTGCAGGATGTTAACTTACACAGCTACTGTTAGCGTCGTCGCTTTCTCTCCGTTTTAACAAGCTGTTAAAATGACGTAATCTGGCGATGACGTAGAGATAAATATGGTAGCTTTACCTTGTATATTGTCCGCAGAAAGTTGAGTTCAGATAGAGGTACAGGCAAGACGAGCCGACGATGAATAGCAGACTTGGCGGACACCTAAAATTCTTCAGATTCCGGTGCAGCAGCTTCAACACACACAGACCACAATGACCACAATGCACTGCGGGCGAGAGAGCGAGAGAGAGCGCGCGCAGCAGGGCCGACATGGACCAACATTACACAATGGAAGTCAGCCTGAGAAAACTGATTTATAATCTTATTTAAGTCATTATTATTTGTTTTAGGATTGTAGCAGTGTGTGGGAGGTTTAGCCAAATTAAGATGTAGATGTATGCAGTTGTTTGTTTGTGTAACATTGATGATTTTCTCCGGTGTTTTTTTAGTTTTAAATAATTTAATTAATTATTTTTTTAATTTAATACAAAGTTTGAAAACAGACCATACATTTCAAAAGATTTTATTCTAGGAACTCCAAAGTAATATGTTTTTCTTTCTCATAGATGTTTGGTGTTTAGTTTGTACTCATATTGTTATAATTCTGTTATTTTATCTTTAATGGATGGAATAACAGTTTAATTGAATTTCTGGGGACTACCTGGAACCATCTAAAGGACCACAGTATTATTCCTCCAAGCCCACTCATAGCTAAGCGTGTGATACAGCCCTATACTGGACCATCAATGGATCCTCTCTATGTTTGAGCCTCTCTTATTTTCACGACCTTAGTTCCAACCTGGAACCAATAATGTGTTTACAAATTACAATGGATACATATTATAAATGATAATAAAGTCCTTTATTTTCAACTCTAACGTGGCTCAGAGGAATGACAATTTGAAACTCTACCATAACTGAGGTTGCACCAAAGATTATGAATCAGTCAAATACTTTTTAAGAAATATTATATTTCACTTATATAGGCTACTAAAATAATATTTAAGAAAATCTATATTGTCATATGCTCTTGTGGTAAACAGTATTCATAGTCATACTTTTTTTGTTTTTTCTCATACTCAAAGTCAATACCCTCAACCTGGATAGTGCTGCAGCTAAAGAGGAAGCAATAATGTTTTATTTCTAATGACTCACTGAACCAGTGTAAAAATGTCATATTTGTGCCAAAATCTCAAGTTACTCTCGACAACCCAGCACAACGGTAAAAGCAAAGGAGTAAATAATGAAATGAAGGAGTACATCTCCATTTAACCTGTCAGGGTCCCTGTATTTTGCATGATGGCTTTCTATCATGGTGATGTAGACACTTGCACACATAGAACATAGGCTAGTTATTGTAAAGGATAAAAGTATACTGTTCTTTTCTATGACATAAAGACAAATGTTTAAAAGGGCCTGCTGACTCACTGACTCTCCTTCTATCCAACAATGAGTTTGAAATTACGAGTTTAAATATTATTTTTACAATATTATTATATTATTATAAATATTATTTTTACAGTCTATGGTTTAAACTTGAAACTCATATTTATAGTAACATTGTAAAGTGGGCTTTTATTTCAATGAAGACAGTTTTAAAATAGTTGAGGTTTCAAAATAAAAGCTCAAATTGAGTTAAAGTTAAGGAGTTTTCCTCCACCTTTTCCAATGATAACTTACATTTATGACAGCCAACAGAGGGTGCTAATGTTCAATCTAAACTGATGAGGGTGATGTACAGTAAAATACCAAGTATTGAAACTTTAATTACATTTATTTTATAATATTGATAAATACCCAATCGTGACTATCATAAACAGTGCAACAAGCAAGTGAAGTTAACTTCTTTGTGTATTTACATTGGAGGATAATTAATAAACTACATCTCCTAACAGGTGGTTTGTCTTCGTATAATATATATATATAATAATCAACCAATCAGAAAAGCCGTGCATGGATTAAAAGTTGAGACAGTTTGCTGACAGTCTGTCGTAAAGGGCTAATTGCCATTTTAAACATATGTTTTAAAGTAAATTGAAAGATGCCCGGATGTATTTCCACTTCGCGTCCAGGAAGCTCACGTTAGCATAACGAACTGGATAAAGGGTAAGGGGCTAGTTTAGCTTGTTACCTAGACATCAGTGTTGGCCTTGATTGTCATGGGTTTCGTCCAACTACAACTACCCACTTTGAAGACGTAACTGTATGTATGGCTCGTTGGTCTAGGGGTATGATTCTCGCTTTGGGTGCGAGAGGTCCCGGGTTCAAATCCCGGACGAGCCCTCCTTTTTTATCAATTCTTACCAGAACAGTAGGCAACACTTACTTGCTCTTGGTATATTTCTTATGTTTTGTCGCTTAAACACTTAAAATATTGGATGCCAAACTGGTCTGAACTAGGTCTATTTGCATTGTTATACTGCTGTCTTGTGGATGTTGGCAGTACTACAGGTAGGGAGTGTATTGTTTTTTCTCTTCTGATTGTATTGTTATTATACCAGTTACGCTTTACTGTTTTTATATTGTCAGGTTGCCTGATATGTTTTCATCCCCACAAAGGTTCAATGGGTCTGAGGCTCCTTTCAAATAATTTGAATTCCACTTATTTATAACATCTGAACACATTCAGATTTTCTTTGTTGAAATCATCTGGCCTTACACTTACTATTGTTTCACACAGGGTCTTTTCAGTGGAGTACAAGAAGCATCAGATTACTTAAATACATGTTCACTTAACACCTTTCTTTCTTGTCTTGGTATTGTCTTGGTATCTGAGCATGCTGTTGTGACAGCATCTTGCCCCCCCCTCCCTTCAGTCTGATTCAGGACAGCCACTGCTCTACTAAACAGGGGTCCACAAGATATATCGGTAAATACCGATCTCTTCTCCATTCTGATACAGCAACCATATCATTGCCACAGAAGCCACACTGTGTCCATTATTTCCATAAGCCTCTTATGTCGCCATGCTGTGATTTGTAGACAGGTTCATACTATGAAGACTGTGGCTGGTTTATGTATATTTTAACCCCCCCCCCTTTAAAAAAAAAAAAAAAAAAAGCTAAATGTGTCTGGTCTGCTATGAATGAGAATCCCCAGTCTCTTGAATGGATGCCATTTTTCCACTTTCTTGTAAAGAATGTTCAAATGTATCTGACATTGGTTTAAATAAATGTAGATCAACAAAACATTCATCTCAATTATTGTGTTTGGTTTTGTCACAGTAGTTACTACTGCTTACTACTCCCTTCTATAGTTCTCCTTAAAGGGATACTTCACCCGTCGAAACATGAATCTGTATTGACATTGGGTCATGTAATAGAAATGTGAAATACATTTTGAAGTTGGTGCCTTCTTGGCCGAGAAAAGGCAGCAAGTGTCTTTTTGGCTCGTGTGGATGAAAGACTACAAATCCCAGAATACACAGTACCGCATGCCACTCCCACTAAGGTCCTCTATTTCAGAATCAGAAACAGAAATACTTTATTAATCCCAGAGGGAAATTTGATCGTTACAGTTTCTCCAAAATATACAATATAACAGCATATTTGAAAAGAATGACAAGATCTCCAGGTTTCTAATGATACAAATATTAATGCAAATGGGTGAAGTATACCTTTAATCATTTCATAGCATTCATTCAGTCAGTGATTTCTGTTTGATAAAAACTAAATTATCAGAACGTTCTCGATAAGTTTGATATTATACATTATAGAAATACATATATTTTTTTGAACACATGAAATTACACCATAATTTACTTTGGTTAAAAATATTTTCCAAATGACTGCTTATGGTTTAAGTGTAAGCCAGACATGATTTGTTATCAATCCAGTAACTTAAATTCAAATATTGACAATATAAAAGAAAAATCTAACAGAATCTAAACCAAACAAATGATTCCTCATTGTTATCCTTTCTCTTCACAGCAGATCACTGCCCACCTCCCTCTGATCAATCTGAGTTGTTCTGCTTCCTAATTATTGGCCATGATATAAATGTTTCAGTATAAATCAAACCAAAGCAGAGACAGACACAGGTATACAACGTAAAAAAAAACCTGTTTAATGTTCAAAAGAGCAGGCAGTGAAGGCAGGGAGCTGGCTGACCAGAAAAATAATCCACAAGGTGATGCAGGAAACTCAGGTGAAGTAACCGGAGTACCTGAGCAGAAGAAAATACAGGTAAGAACAAAAGAACATCCAGGGGCAACTACCAAACAAGACTGACTTATCTGGCAGAGTAGTGGAGGGAAGACCAGGCTTTTATAGACAAGATGATAGTTGAGTGGAGCCAGGTGTGCCTCGTCTGCTGCTGAGTGGAGAAGCCAGCCACACCCCACTGCCACTCACATACCTGCAGAAGAAAGGAAACAGAAAGGGGAGGTGGAGAAAGAGAAGGAAAGAGAGAACAAATACAAAAAACCCTACAGCAAAACCAAAACCAAACAGAATCATCACAATGAACCTCGTAAAGCTCATTGTAACAAGATAATAAGTCCAAGTACTTACTTTAAAATGGTTCTTACACTTTGAACTCCATGTCTTTCAGAAACGTCACAGATTCTGAGTCAGATCACTGAAGTGTGTAACTCGGGCATTAAAAGACGCACAGTCAACATCAGTACAGTGTAAAAAGTTTGTCATGTGTTCAGATTATGTCCATTTTTAACATCAGAGTCAAATATTCAGAGATCATATTTAGCTTCAAAATGTGTTAAATGCCTGAGAGGCATGATAAAAAAAAAAGTGAGAGCCAACTTGTAGCCCCTGGTTCAGTTTCCCTACGCCTCTATATTCACCCCATCATCACCTCCTTAACCAGGATGTCATTTAAAGTAAAGCAGCTGCCTGCTTAGCCGGCACCTTTCACTTCTCAAGCAGCACTTAATTTACTGCAGGACATTTTAAATCTCTGCCTCTGTGGCTCTGAGTCGCTGACAAATGCCTGGTTGCAAATGTATCTCATTGACTGCTGACTCGGTTGTATTACAAGCCTGCTGATAGGGGGGCTGCTGCAGTAATGTGGCCCTCAGGTTTATCCTCAGATGTTTGGGAAGTGTATTAATTTAGTTTAGATGGGGCTGTATGAAAGCGTAGTGGCAGGCAGAAGACTCACAACCTCCGGGGATTGAAGCTATCTGCACCCCAGCCAAAGCATATTCCAGCATCAATGTGTCAGAGGAAAGATATTAAACCAGCTTTACTTTTCCTAA